ATGAGACCTGATAGGCTAGGGTCAGATAGAAGTGGAGGAGGATCCTAGTAAGGGGAACAGGGACTATCTCTGATATGAACTCAGTGGCTGACTCTTTGACCTCCCTTCCTCCCTCCCGTGGGAGGAGCAGCCTAGCTAGGCCACAGAGGAGGACATTGCAACCAGTTCTGATGAGACTTGATAAACTAGGGTCAGATGGAAGGGGAGGAGGACCTCCCCTATCATTGGACTTAAGAGAGTGGCAGGGAGGAGATGAGAAAGAAAGGGAGGGTTTGGGAGGGAATGAGAGAGGAGGCTACAGCTGTGATACAAAGTAAATAAACTGTAATTAACATATATAAAAAAACGGAGGAGGACCTCCCCTATCAGTGGACTGGGGGAGGGGCAAGGGAGGAGAAGAGGAAGAGAGGGTGGGGCAGGGAGGGGATGAAGGAGGGGATACAAAGCTGGGATACAAAGTGAATAAATTATAATTAATTAAAAAAACAAATTAAAAAATAAAGATGCAATTAGTAATTTACATGCTTGGGGTTTCATGCCACAGATACAAAGTAAAATGATGAAAGTAGAAGAGTTAGGGGAAAAGAAAAGGCCTGGCTGGAACACAATGAAGAAAAATAATGCAGTAAACAGAAAACTTGTTGGGTAATCTGCACGCCATACCCCTGCAATGATAGGGACAGAGGCTATCCCTGTATCTTACTTCATCTACAATTGCCCAGCTGTCTCTGGGTAAAATTACAAAGGAAGGTTGCAGAGAGAAAGAGTTGTTACAAAGCCAGAAATTTCTTTTACTGGAATGTTTTGCCATATTGTATATTTGATGGCTATTCAGCTCTTTCAGAAGAGTCAATACATTCAGTGTTTCAAAACTAGAGCCTGACTGTTAGAGACTATTTAATTAGTTAGGGTTTTACCTTAATTTTTTTTTTTTTTTACAAATGAGATTCTAACAAATGTTAGAGAGACTGATTAAAGACCAGACCACCTAATGTTAAGAGATAGTAATGATCAAACGCATATTGTCATGTAGAGAGAGATACAGAAAAATAAAATGTACATTTCTAGGGTGCCAAATGTCTTGAAATGGAATTCTGAAAATGTGCCTCAACATGATGGTGATGTAATAGTCCAAACATCCATTTTTTTAATGTAGGAGCCTGTGGCGATAGAAACAGGAGCAGTGTCGCTCTCCTGGCGTGGTTGGTAACTCATAGAGAGCACCTAATAAGAGACAAATGCATTAAAAGTAAAGTAGGAACTTCAGAGAATTCACAGGTGTTTAAGTGTTTGGAAAACATGTCAACTGTCTTAGGTAAAGTGACACAACATTGTGCCTGATACTCAATGGGTTGAAGTAAATCTGCCTTTTAAGTCTCTTTTTTTGCTCCTACGCAGTAAACATGAGCAAAGAGAGACTGTGCTTTTGGTTAGACTGAAAGCAACATATAAAAAGAAGCTTCCATAGGGAAGAAAACAGTGTGCACAGAACCAGGAAGACTCTTTTAGATATAGGGAAAGCATGTTGTTGTTTTTTTTGTTTTGTTTTTATTAAGCATTTTAGTTTGTATCCAAGATTCATTTACAGCTCACAACAATCCAGTCTCCATTTTGAAGGTGGGGGTGGGGACTAGAGAATAAAATTTACCATTTGTTAGGGGGCATGTCTCAGTGGTAGAGGCTCTGGTGGTCCTAGAACATCAGAGTCACACAGCTGCTAATGTGGCAATCACAGGCTCATGTCCAGTTTAAATGGCACTCTTTCTTAAGCTATGTGCTCTGCAGCGTGAGCTCCTACTGATTTGCCTTTAGGGATAACAGAGATATTACTTGCCCCTGCCTCTCTGTGGCCTTTACAAAAAACACTACTGTCCTTATTTAGTTCTTGCAAAGATAATACAAATACAATTATAGAACATTCAATAATGTACATAAATAAAGAGAAAAAATCATCGCAATCCTGCCACTGAATGATTACCAAGGTTTATATTTTAATTATATATTCCTAGTGCTTTTAAACTAATGCATAAGTGCTATAAATATTCAAATCTATTTTACAAAAATGGTCAAAGTAGACATATTAAACTTGAGGCCAGTTCTTGCTTATTTAAATTAATTATATTATGAAAGAAAATTTTCTTCCATGAAATTTTTGTTGACTAAATAGTGTAACAATATTTTAATAAGCAATACATTCTCACTAATGGAAGCTTTTGTAATATTTGTTATATTGATTCAGGCAATGGAGTAAAACTAATAAGAATGTTAAATGTTACTTACAACTTCAGAAGTAACAGCCATTCTAGGCTGTATAGCAACCTAATATTACATAAATTATTTTCCTAGTATCGGTGTCAAGAGGGATGTGTGGCTGAAGTCTGATCTTTTTGTTTGCTTGTTTTTCTCTTGTTTTGTTTTGAGACTGTGAGTTTTACAAACTCATGATCAGCAACATGGAGCACTAGAATAGCTTTTCAGATAATATGAGACTTCAAATTACCCATCATTACATAAACTTGGCTGAGAGAACACTCAAAGAACCTTAAAACACATGCCATTCATGTATTCCAAGTTCTACTCCTGGATTGGATAAAGTCTTCAGGTTATAATCTATCTGTACATCTTGAAACTCACTGCCTTGAGGTTTCCTGTAAGAAGCAGGTTAAACTGACTCACATGTTTATTAAATAAATGCTATTGACATCAGTGCCTGCCACAGCACAAACATTTGGTATACTTAAAAAGCATTCAGCTTTTTAAGACAGATTTTATTGGCAGGAAAAATGTGTCACTGAGAAACTTACAAGTTCCTTTCCTCATCATAAAAAAGGTAATTTTATTGTGATTCTGAAGTTCCTTCTCCCTGGTCAGGAAGCTTAGAGTCAAAAGTGATACTAAATCAAAGAAATTCTGTTGTGTTTTGGTATTTCTGTAGTCTTTTCCTAGGATGGTTTGCTGCTTCAATTTTGCTACCATCATTATTATGTGTGTATATAGAAGGGCCATTTTTTTTTTTTAATGTTTGACAGCAAAGCAGGCATCTTTTTTTGCTGAAGGAATTAATGTAAAATGGTGGTGGTGACCCGTGTAAGAGAGAACTGGGGTCGACTGTGGAACAGGTCATTGCCCAGTGTGGTCAGCTGTGGGCATCGTTGCAGCACGGAGCTTATGAAGATGAAGACTCAACCCACAACACGCCCCCTGGTCACCGGATCTCCCAGATGAGGAAATGTTCACTTTGTGGTTTAGACCTTCTTCAAGAACCACCATGGTCCATGATGCAGCTGCAGACCATGTGTGGGCCTGCCTGATGTCAGGGGCCAGGTAGATGTCGGTGGCCTGTGTTACTGTCTACTGCTATGTGGCAGTGATATAGATGACTGCTGATGCAAGAATGAGAAAGAGGGACATGGAAGGCTTCTGTAACAACTTCCACCTTCCCAACTACCCCCTTCCCTGCAAAGTAGCAGCCTAAATAGGAAGCCATCAAAGAGAACTCTTAAAAAATGTGATAAGGATGTTGAAGTGTAGCTCTTCACAACTGATGGCTTCTAGGGGGGCAGGTACAGGAGGGGAACTCAATTTTATTGAGGGGGTAGACCACTGAGAGTAGTTTGACCATGCTCCAGTAAGTATATGAACAACACAAATTGGACTTGTTGTTGGGCGTGCGCAAGGAGGTGAGTGTGATGGGGGTGAAATTCCCACAGAATCAATAAAAATACTATTTTTTTTTTGAAAAAAAAACAACTATTGACTCCAACAGAAACACATTTACTCTGTCACATTGCTCTAAAGTTTTCTAATGCTCTGCTCTCAGTTAATCTTGATAGCTTGTACACTTCTGGTCATCTGGTGGACTGTGCTTTGAGTAGCTTTGCTATAAGATAATCAGCCCTGATTACCCCCTCTGCGCTCTCCACCCTACATTCCGTTCTTTCCAGCTTCAAATGCCTGCTTTTGATTCAGACATCCTATTATGTTAAGCTGTGGACTCCTTGAGGGGCAGGTGTGGAGTCTCTTTAGTCTTTCAACATCCAGCACCTACCACAGTGCTAGGTAAAGATCTGTGTTGTATTGCATAGTTCTTGTTGGCACTAGGAACTGAAACAAGTTTTATTTCAGGTTATTTTAAGGAGGGAAGGATGGTGAAGGCTTTCCTTCCTTTTGCACTTTTCAGTCAGTGTTTGTTAATTTTTAAACCACATCATAAATGAGAAAAATGTAAGCATTATTTGAACAAATGACACTGTAGAACAAGTGATGCCTACCTCTTGCCATCAGTAGCAGAGACTAGTTTGTGTGTGAAAAAGAAACCAAGACTTGGCAGCCCCTGCTTTCACTGAGAAACAGCCTTTTCTTCTCATGGTCTTTGGGCTGGTAAAATAATCAAGACATTAAAATGACTAATTTTAAGAGAGAGACAAAGTGATTTTGTATAAACTTTCTGCTGAAAATTGAGGCTGGAAAGTGCTTTCTTTTTTACAGTGTCCCCTTTCAAGGCCCTGGTGTTATTAGGAAGTTCACCGGCCAACTCGTTTGCATGATTCAGACACCAGAATAATTTAACAGGATAGTTTAAACCATGAGCCATAGGCCCTGACTTCTCTTCTGACAATTGTGCTGTGTGAACAGTCGGTTAATCACAGCCTGAAAGTGACTTATCTATAATGTGTAGTATGACTAAGTTAGCAGCTAAGCAGTTTCATTGTGATCCTGGTGTCAGTGGAATTCCTGTCACCTTTCCAACAGTTAAGTCATTTCACATAACCGCGGGGTGACATCACTGTGCTGCCAGATTATTGGCTGAAGACAAGGGGAAAAAAACGTTTCCTGAACTGTGAACCTTTTCCAGATCTAAATGATCGGCTCATGCTGTTTCTGCAGTGCACCCGGGGAGCAAAGAAAAACCGTGGTTTGAAGTGGCTAGCTTTTGGCGTGTCCCACTGCACAGGCTGGAGAGCAGCTGTGCCTAACTGTCACGTCTCTTCTTTTCACAGGGCCTGCCTTTAAGACTAAGGGCCAGAGAAAGGAGACTGTGCTGTTGTCTTTCTCCGGAAGGAATGGTTTACATGACATAGTTCACTGTCTGCTTTGCACATCGACACTGAAGAAGCAGTCAGCTGGGGCCCCATTGCAAACCACTTATGGCTAAGAGCCTGACTTATTTCCAGGAGAAATGACGGTCTAGATTAATCATCAGAGAGCACTTAAACTTCCAACTTACTTAACTGTTCAGAAATCTTATACTCTAAAATCACTGCTAGAAATGCCTCTAAACTAGAGATATGAATGTAACTTATGATAATAATGTCCAATAAATACTTTTTATTGTGTGCCAGCATTGTTCTAAGTGGTAAACATATACTTATTGGTTTAGTCCAATAAGGTAGCCAACGTTATCTGTAAGCTACTAAAAAGGGAATGGAGATGCTGCGATGACACAACGGAGAAAGACTGAGGGTGGGGAGCTCAGCAGCAGCTCACCAGCCTCGGTTTCTGCCTCCTGCTGCGTTATTGTGATATCAAAAATTACTTCCACCACCTACTGCTACTCCATCCACTGAAGGTTCGTCATATAAGCAGCTCTAAACAATAACCATGCCACCCCTTCATCAACCCTGAGATCTTTCCTTATAACCCCTATTCGGTAGATCAGTAAAGCGAGGTGGAAAAAAATCTGCCACACAGAAGGTAGATGTTGAAGGAAGGTGTGGTCCCGGTCTAGATCTGGATTCCATTCGTGTAACAAAGAGCTGTATTGTTTCAGTAGCTACTGTTTGTTGAGCAGCAGCTAATGGGCAACCCAGATGGTAGGTATTATTAGCTAGGTGTAGAGGTTTATAGGGGAGAAAACTAAAGTTCTAAGAGGTCAGGTAATTTGCCAGCTGCTGAGTGGCAGAGTCAGAATCCTTCTGCCATATTGCCTTCCTCAAATATAGAGTTCTACTGTAGTTCCCATGCCAGAAGACAAACGGTAACTTGAGGAATGGGCTGGTTTCTCCAGAGGCTCTGAGAGCACCATCATCTGAAGATCTCCCAATGAGGGTGAAGGGCCAGTAAAAGGAGGTGGTGCTCTGATTTAGACCTCACGGATACCTTGTTCTTCCGATGAGTCTGGATGATAGATTGGCTGGATATGGGCAGATTTGCCTCTTCCCTCAGTTTTTGTTCTTTTTTTTTTGTAAGGATATTCTTTTCTATTTTTTGATTATTACAATTTATTCACTTTGTATCTCAGCTGCAGCCTCCTCTCTCATTCTCTCCCCATCCCACCCTGCCTCTCTCTTCTCTTCCCTTGTCCTTCCCCAGGCCACTGATAGGGGAGGTCCTCCTCCCCTTCCATCTGACCCTAGCCTATCAGGTTTCATCAGGACTGGCTGCATTGTCCTCTTCTGTGGCCTGGTAAGGATGCCCCTGCCCTCTGGGGGAGGTGATCAATGAGCCAGCCACTGAGTTCATGTCAGAGACAGTCCCTGTTCCCCTTACTAAGGAAAACACTTGGACACTGAGCTGCCTTTGGACTCAGTATTTCCAAACATCACTGCCCCATTCTTCATTTAGCACACAGCACGGGGTTGTCTCGGTTCTCTTACCTTGTAAGGGTTTTCTCCAGACCCCTAGTGCTGTTCTTGCTTGTAGCACATATTCAGTTCTCAGGAATGCATGATCATGACACCCATTAAGCATGACACACATTTTCGGAAGGCTTTAGAAATGCATCTGATTAGTGGATTTAATGTTCTTAAAGGGGAGGTGTATAGTTACTATCCTATATAAGCTAATAGTTTCACGGAAGGCACCCTGCTTTCAAAATGGAACAATTTATAAACCCTGAAATCAATAAAAAAGCAAAAGGCAGCAAACTAAGAAACAAACAGATTGAATGCATCAGAAACATTTACTGCAAAGTTTTCTAAAACAAAGAGCTTGGGGTAAATTGAAACTCCTATTCTATTAAATAAAAATTAAATATATCCATTTAATAATTTAAGGAATATTTATTTTGGAGAGGCAGAGACTAAAAATATGTATGACATATGCTGGTACATAATGCTTAAAAATGGTGAAATGCCATAACAGTGGAAACTTATAAGATATGGTTGTTCTAGTAAGGAAGCAAGCCCTCTATAGGAATCTTCTGGGAGGAGGAGCAACTTGGTCAGAGGTAGGAAAACAGGCAGAATTACAAGAGTTGACATAGAGGTTAGGGAAAGGACACTCCACACAGGGAACTAGCATGTGATTAAAAGATAAGATCAAAAGATGCAGTATGAATCTGGCTCGAGGACACACAGTTCTTATGTAATATGAGACTCTTCTATAAAAATCCATGGGGATGATTAAGGATTTGTATTACTCTTAATACCAGAGAATAGGATGTAGAAGAAAAGTATTATGAATCCCAAAATTAGAAAAAGGGAAAATCATAACTACTGCTTTCCTATCAGCTGGCATGCTTGGACTCATGAATGACCCTTTAACAGAAAAAGACTTATTTTCACGACTAAGTCAATGGCACTGGGCTATGTTCACCTAAAGCTCACTCTCCTGACTCAGTGGACAGGAAGCCATTCATGCCATCTTCACTTTTTAGGCATAAGGTGATTGTGCATTTCAAATGCTGATTTCTGTACCCTTCCATATCTGGTTGCAATCATTTTTCAGAGACTCTCCTGTCTCAATGTTGTGTAAACACTGCTCCCTAATTGTCCCCTGATATGTCAATAAAGAGACTTGGTAGCCAGAGTCTGAGCAGGGGAGAGAATAGGGCTGGGTTTCTTGCCGTTGGGGGGGAGGCAGTTAGAGGAGGAGGTAGGGGATGAGACACGGGAGAAGATCTGGATACATCAGGAAGCCACTCGGTAGTTAAACTGGGCCACTCTAGGCCATGGTTCATCACCAAATCATATTTTGTTCTCCTCATTGATCACATGTTCTCTCCAGCCACTTCTTTCTAGCTGTAAGTCTGTATTCTTGAACGATGAAAAGATCCTTCTATTCAGAGTGGATGAATAATTCCTGGAATGTTTACTCATGTTGTTTGAGATCCTGATCAACTTCTAGGGCTATTTTTATAGCCAAGACTGCCTTAAGATAAATGAGTCCTCTTTGGGTTTTTGATCATTAAGTGCTTTGGGATGAGGTATAAAGAAATTCACTTCATTTATTCAGACATTGAGGAGTTCCTACAGTGGTAGCCTGCCTTCAGCTTGGTCCCTGATGATCTATGTAGTTTTGCTGTTTCTGCCCTGTATAGCATGGTACTAAGAGAACATGGCAAACATAACTGTATGTCACTTTGTAGATACAACTGACACTGTGACTTCTACTTTGCTCTCTCTGAGATCTTTTTTTTTTTTTTCTGAAGAAAGCCAGCTGCCATGTCCATTTCACGAGGAGACTCAGAAACCTAGAGAGAGGCTCATTTTGAAAGCAGAGCCAAGTTCTGCTAACAGCTGGAGAGGAAGGGAAGCTTTTGGTCTGCAGTTATGTGTCCTAGATGCCCCAGAAGTCAAAGTAAAAGCCCCAAACATGCCTTTGGATGACTGTGGCTGTGGCTCCTCCCATCCCTGACCTTTGGCAGTGCTGAGGCTTAACTCTAGGTTTTTATGCATGAGAGACAAGTGTCCTACTGCTTAGCTACAGCACTTAGTACAGTTTGATTTGAGCTTTAAAAAAGAACTTGAGTCACAATTAAGCTAAGCTACTCCCTCATTCTGGACACTCAAAAATGGTGTGTAAAAATAAAAGGTATATTGTTTCAGGCTACTAATATCTAGGTATTTTATGTTCTAGAAATTAGGGATAAACCTGTCATTGGTTAGTTCTTGTGTCAGGAACTGGGAATTAGGTTTTCTTCCCTATAAACTAACAATACTAAGGACATAAACAAAGACATAAACATATGGACACCCCAAATAGAGATGTGCCAACACCTAATTATAACACATTACAACAAATGCTGTGTAGGAAATCCCTATTCCAGGGAGCTGAAGATGTAGCGATGAACACTACTTGGAAGGAATGAAGAGCTGGAAAAAAACTTTATTTAGAGATCAGTGTCCAAGAAAGATCAGTGCATCTCTAAGCAAAAGAACATATTCTAAGACCTAGTGGTAAGAGAATCAGTATGTGATTGAAGATGCATTCATTTCCATTCAGATGTGGTCAGGGATTCATGTAAGGATTTCCTGCTAGGAAAGATTTATTTGGCCTAACAGGCAAAAATACATGGGTAACATTTAGGTATGAGCTCAACAATTAGATATGCATTATAGAGCAGTAAATATTCATTGAAATATTTATTATAGAGCAGTACTATAGAGCAATATTTATTATAGAGCATATTCATTGGAAATATGCATTCTAGAGCAGTAAATATTCATTGGTATAGCTACTGGGGAGAGATGAAGGCCACAAACACAACTACTATAGTTATGTTCAATAGATATACATGTTAGAAACTGTGAGCTTCGGACAGTACCTATCACTTAGTGATATTTTCATTTTTTAAGTTTTCACTTCAAAATAATTTATATGTATCAACAATTGCAAAAGAAAGCATCAGTGGTGAAACAGTGGCCCCACTTAGTCAAGGCCTTATGTTCCAAACAAAGGCCAAAAATTTTTTTGCAAAAGTGATTTGCGAAATTTCTATATCTCCTTCACACAGCCTTCCTCCATGTTGACATTTATGTAAATGCAGTTAACTTTTTAGAATCAGAACATTAATATTTAATTTACTGACCTTACTCAAAGCCACCCATCATTTGATTGATGTGATTTTCCTAGTTAAGGGTCTCGCCCTGGTTTTAGTTGTCACATGTCTTTAGTTTTCTTTTATTCACGCTGTTGTATATAATGTTGGCCAAATTGGGCTCAGTTTATCTGCTATTTCACGATTACATTTAAATTCTGTGGTTTTTGTAAGAATAACACTGAAATTATGTCATTCTGAAAGCTGCACAATGTTGATGTCTCATTCTTGATGTTAATTTTGATCACAGCTATTTCTTGCTAAGTGTTTCTACAGCAAATTAATGATCCCCCCTGTAATCAATAAGGGTCATGTTTGAAGACAGTTACAACGAGGAGCATTTGCTTTTTTCAATTAAACTTTTCCTCAATAATTTAAAAATGGATTTTTACAATGATGGCATTAAAATCATCTAACTGATACCTGAAATAATTATTTTGGTATTTGCCAACTGGTAAAAAAGGTTTGAATTATGTTTTCTGATGATTTTAAAACATGTTTCCTGCTGGGCTCGG